ATATAATTTCGAATATACTCTTAATAATATAAATAGACCTTCTTGTCTAAATAACTTCTACTTAATCCTTATAACTTATCAAATCATATAAGTCACATAAAATACTTAGGCAATTTATAACATTTACTCGACTAACTCAATTTAATGAAAAACGATTCTGGTTTAACTTTAATGTCGAGCCAACTGAAAAATAAAATTCTTAGAGATTTATTAAGGCTTGAAAATATAAAAGATCATTATTAATAAAAGTAAAATAGTTCTAACTTAGAACTGAAATAATTACTTTTATTAATTACTGAATGGGATATTACATTTTTTTTTTTCTTTAAAAAGATGAGGACATAAATATGATATATGTCAAAAGTGAAGAAAATTTGAAATGAGAGTTCATCCAACATAATAATTTGAGGATTCTAATCTGATTGCACTTGATCCGTTTTTTTACTTTTACTTGAGAATTATGTTCTCAAGGTCGTTATTCAACATCCTTTTTTTCAAAATAAGAAAAGAATTTAACTATTTTACACGTTTTCAAACATGTGAATATATTTTTTGTGAGAAAATTTAATAGGTAAACGAAAACTTTAGGTAGGAATTAATTATCGGGTGTAGGTGCTCCACCAAAAGAGATGCTCCCGGAATGAGAAGAAATTTAGGACCAATTTCAAATTTTAATGGAAAAATTGAATAGCTAAACAAACTCTGATTGAATTGAAATTTTTTTAGTACAAATGTATCGACCAGACAAGCCCAACGTTATATTACTTTATTAGGATGGAAGCTGAAAAATACTAGAATTCCACCAAACAAAGAAAATGGAGGAAATCATATATGTGTAAAATTTTTATATAAAAAATTGAACAAATAGTCGGACTCGATTTGACTCATACAACGAGGAAAACGCTATCTCAATAAGATGAGACTAATGGTATGTCGTCATTCGACGAGTGAAAACCAAATGATGCTATAATTGTAATTTTAGCTGGCATAGAACAAATGAGCGAAAAAGGCGCCAGAATAGTTTTCGAAAAATCGAATGAGTATGACAAGTGTACTGTTTCTTAATTTTGATTTCAAATTGTACATGTGTTGCTAATGTCCAAGTTGATGTTTCCTTCTCGGAATTAATTAGGCTAAATTAAAATTTTGCCAATTATATAATGTTAAAAAGATAAAATATTCAACACGGTTATGTTCCAAAATGTCCCTATATATATCCAGTGGACCCATTCAATATTCTGCACCTCTTACAAACAAACTTCTTTCCAACAATGGACAATTGTAAATTATTCATTTTTCTGCAGTTTCTTTATCTTCTTTTTCCTCTTCTTCTGGCTTCCTCTGCTCAGGATAGACAGGTTTGCAAATTTTTCTAAAGCAAGTGTCACTATATATTTTCAGATTAACAGCTTGTGTTAAGCAAAACAATATCATATAATTATATTTATTATTCGTAGGTATATATCGTATACCTCGGGGAGCATGATGGAGAAAAAACTCACCAAGAGATAGAAGAAAACCATCACTCATATTTGTTCTCTGTTAAGGAAAGTGAGGAAGATGCAAAAGCTTCTCTTATTTACAGCTACAAACACAGCATTGATGGCTTCGCTGCTTTTCTTACCCAACAAGAAGCTTCGGATATTGCGGGTGAGCCAAATAAAGCCGAATTAATTTTTAGTTTATTTTTGTACTCTCGTGTAATGCGAATGTGTGTGTACATATGTTAAAAAGTGGTGTATGTATTGAATTATAATAGAAAGGGAGGAGGTTGTGTCGGTGTTTCGGAGTCATCCGAGAAAATACGCATTGCACACGACGAGGTCATGGGAGTTTTCGGGCTTACAAGAGTCGACAAATCCAAGCAATATTGATAAAAACTCTTTGTTATACAAATCGGGATATGGCAAGGACATCATTATTGGCATGCTCGACTCGGGTAATTTTACATATTAAGAAAAAAATTTCCTACTTGGATGGATGAAAAAATTAATTATACACGATGCATGTTGAGTTGAATGAGTTTAATCATTTATACAATGAGTGTCATAAAACGAATCTCTTAGTATAACATTGGTGTTTCAATAGGTATCTGGCCAGAGTCTGAAAGCTTCAATGATGAAGGAATGGATGACGTACCAAACCAATGGAAGGGAAAATGCCAAGCTGGCGAAGCATTCAACTCCTCACATTGTAATAAGTAAGATATTTGCTATTTATTATGATCATTTTTTATTTTATTCTTTGAAAAATTTCATAAATTGTTCATGGCTCGTTTACGCATGCAAACGAAGAGCTATGTTGGTCTATCATTAAACTTGACTCATTATCTTGACCACTACAAGAAACCGATTAATTTCATTGAAAATATATTCCAATGAATTTTCACCAGCAATTTCGATGGATTATTCCAATGAGATATATATATATATATTACTTCATTGGAATTTCGCAACAAATTCCAACAAAATATTCTAATTGGAATTAGTTTTTCATTGAAATTATTTTTTAGTTTGATTTGAACAATTCTAACGGCTAATATTCTAAACGTTAAGATATAGATAAATAAATTCCAACGAAAATTTCAATGAATTATTCCAATGATATATATTTACTTCTTTTTTATTTTTTTTTTCTACGAGCTCGTGGAATTCTGTGTTTGAAAAAGGCAATTTTAGTTGACTTTATGACTTTATCACATCTTTCTTCGTTTTTATTAATAAGCCAAATTGAATTTGTCCGACTATGTTACTTTTACCATACTAGAGTTAAAAAGTCAACGTTTTATTTTAAGTACACTATGTTGATCATTTATCGAAAAAAGTTCATCGTCATAAAAATATGGTTCATTATATTGCCACTTTAATCAAAACTCGTATAATGACCAACATACTGCACTAAATGTGATCCAACCACGTCAGAAATCAATCCGGCCACGCCAGTATTTTAGTACACACTATGTTAGTCATTGCACGAGTTTTTGAAATATATTTATTATATGTTACTTTTACCATAGTAGAGTTCAATGTCCAAAAGAAATGGATCAATTTTATTCCATATGTTAAAACGTTTTAGGAAAATCATCGGTGCCCGATACTACTTCAAGGGCTTCGAAGCCTACTACGGCCTCGGCAGCCTTAACAAATCGATCGACCTCAAGTCCCCCCGCGACATGAACGGGCACGGGACCCACACTGCATCCACGGCCGCCGGCCGTGCCGTCAGGAATGCCTCCGCCCTCGGGGGCTTCGCCGAGGGGATAGCCTCCGGGGCCGCCCCCTTAGCCCGCCTAGCCATCTACAAGGTGTGCTGGAACAGCCCGGACTTGGATGGGGGCACCAAGTGCTTCGACGAGGACATTATTGCCGCCTTCGACGACGCCATCGCTGACGGTGTCCACGTCCTCAGCGCCTCGATTGGGTCGACGGAACCTAGTCCGTACAAAGACAACAGCCTCGTGATCGGATCCCTACACGCCGTCCGGAATAACATCGTCGTGGCGCTCAGCGCGGGGAACGAGGGACCCACACCGGCCACAATAGTCAATCCGGCTCCATGGACAATCACAGTCGGGGCCAGCAGCATCGACAGGGTATTCTCGTCTGCGGTCGTGCTCGGGAGTGGCGTCCAAGTCCAGGTGACTACTGACTCGAATTGTAGCAATTTTGATATGTTTTTGCGATTAAAATTTTGAAGTGGCTGACTTGAATTGCAGCAAAATATTAAATTACATGACTTAAACTGCTATATGTCACTCCTGCTGAAAGACCTAAATTGTTACCTTTGAAATTTAATAGGACGGACATTGCATTTCAGACGAAAATAAAACAGCTGGATTAATTAATTCCTTTTTTTTTTTCCAGGGCCAATCCGTCGCTCCTTATCAGATGGAAAACAAGATGCATCCATTGGTTTTCGCGGGTGATGTAACCATGCCCGACGTGCCCAAAAACGAATCCGGGTTCGTTTAATTATTATTTTTTTTTTTTCTTTTCGTGACTAGACCAAACCTGATGGAGTGTAATCATTCATTTTTACAGGCAATGCTTACCAGATTCCCTTTCTCTTGAAAAGGTGAAAGGTAAAATCGTACTGTGCTTGAGAGGAGACGGGTTTAGAGTGAGCAAAGGCATGGAAGTCAAAAGAGCCGGTGGCATTGGTTATATCTTAGGAAATAGTAAAGCTTACGGGAACCAATTAGTTGCCGATTCCCATGTTCTTCCAGCAACGCACGTCACCTACGAAGACGCTCTCCGTATTCTAAAATATATAAACACTACGAAACAACCAAACGCGCTCATCACGCCAGCTAAGACGGTTTTGGGCAAAGTACGGGCACCTGTCACGCTTGATTTCTCCAGCAGAGGTCCCAACATAATATCACCCCAAATTTTGAAGGTAGAAGAATACTTAGTTTAATTATTGGGAAAAATTGCACCATTCGTCCACTAATTATACCCGAGTTGAACTTTCGTCCTTTAATTATTATTTTTTTACTTTTGGTACACTATCATTTTTTTATGGCAATTTTCGTCCAAATCGAGGTTCCGGTACTCATTTTTGCCGGAAAGCTGATGTGGCGCCCAGTCGGATTGTGCGCCACATCAGCTTTTTCGGTGCCACATCAGCTTTTCCGGCAAAAATGAGCACCGGAACCTCGATTTGGACGAAAATTGCCACAAAAAAAATTATAGTGTACCAAAAGTAAAAAAAAATAATTAAAGGACGAAAGTTCAACTTGGATATAATTAGTGGACGAATGGTGTAATTTTTCCTAATTATTGTGAGTAAATTTTTATTTTTTTTTTTTCATTTTTTTCACTGCGGATATATCCATGTCTATATAGCCGGACATCACGGCTCCAGGATTAAACATATTAGCAGCTTGGAGCGGAGCATCTGGTCCATCAGGTGAGCTCGGAGATAATCGGGTTGTAAAGTATAATTTTGACTGGGGCACATCTATGGCCTGCCCGCACGTATCTGGCGCTTTGGCCCTTCTAAAAGCCGTTCATCCCGACTGGAGTAGCGCCGCATTAAGATCAGCTCTCATGACTTCCGGTATATATGCATTCTCGCATCAATTGAATATTATTCTAACAAAAGTTAAATGTTGTTGAATCAAAATCAATTTAATTAAAATGATTTTATCGCAGCACGGTTGGTCGACAACAAAGGGAAACCCATTGCGGATGCATCCGGAAGCCAGGCTGGCCCGTTCGACTTCGGGTCGGGTTATTTCAACCCGAACAAAGCAGTCGACCCGGGGCTCGTGTATGATACAACTTACGAGGAATACCTCGTCTTCCTATGTGGCATTAAGGTCAAGCTTGTTAAATCCTACAAATGCCCGGAGAAATTCCCGTCTCCAATTGACCTCAACTACCCGTCGGTAGCCATACCCAAACTAAAGAGTAAAGTCACCGTCACTAGAACGGTCACAAATGTGGGCCCCGCTCAGAGCGTGTACTCTTCCAGCATAGAGGCTCCACCAGGGACCGAAGTGGAAATATTACCTTCGGAGCTGCATTTTAACCAAACCGGTCAAAAGATGAGTTTTACCATCACGGTAAAAAGGGATGGGAAATTTACGGGCCGGGTTGGGATAGACAACTACACGTTCGGATCGTACACGTGGATTGATGGAGTTCATGTTGTCCGGAGTCCTATGGCTGTTTCACTTGCTCTCTAGCCCTTTTTTTTTTTTCGTTTTTCTTCTTTTAAGAGTTTCGCCATAATAAGTGATCATGAAATGGGGATTACGTGCTAGCAAGATCCTCATTTATGATTCCAATTTTCACGTGGCATAAATAAAATATGCACTTACTAATTAGAAGTTTTTCTCCATTTCATAGAATACAAATTGAGCACAATATCAGATCCTCATATGTAATTCCAATTTCCCCGTGGCATAAATTAATATGCAGTTACTATTTACAAATTTTGTCCATTTCGTAAAATACACATTAAGTCGTTAAAAATTGAGCACAATATGGTTAAAAATGCCAAAAGAATAATAAAAAAAAATGACACAAAAATAATTTACAAACTAATTACGCTCAATAAAGTTGAACAAAACAAGCAGCACATGAACTTTTGAACATGAGCTTTTATATGACTTTAGTAAATTTAATTTTTCCTTATTTAGCTAGTTAAGTGAAAGCAAAATAAGAAAAACAAGAGAAATGGAAAAGAGAAAAGTATTAAGGAATCAAGATCTCCAGAAGTTCACCTTACCGTGTTACCGCAAGGCCATCTCATGAAGCTCTCCATGCACAGTCAGCTCGTGGTCCCATGCAGAAGTGACCGCGTGTCGTTACACGACAAATTTGAATTTATAAATTTCTTCGTCTAACCCTTACTAACTAATAGTAGTGGCGAGCGAGGGTTGATTCCACAGGGAGTATGGTATAAACTGTGATTTTATTATATTAATTAGATTAAGTGAAAATTGAGGGGTTTGATTTAAAACGAATTAATGGCAAAACGAGAAATTAAACTGAAACTAGAGATGTATGTTCAAATTGCAAATGATGATGAACTCGAAAATAACAAATAATTTAGCAAATCTGGGAATGAAATTGGTCCCAGGTCGGCCTACACCCTCGAATAACTAGTCCAATTAATGCATTTATCAATCTCACTCGTCTTCTAAAACTATCTGTTCTAGATAACAATAAGCTCTGTTACCTGAATTTTTCGTTAATTTTACTAATCGAAATAGGTTCTCCAAATAAATCTAACTAACGAACAACTTGGAATAAGTTCTTCTAATTTAATCTGCTAGTTGCATTAAAATCTAGAAAAATAGACCGATCTAAGCCACAAACACACAAGTTCGGTTCATGTAACTTATATTGTTATCCATAACAGTGCACGACCATTAGTTGCTACAAACAATTTTATATGACAAACAAAACGAGATAAATTGCATTAATTGAAGAGTCATCGAGTGTTCCTATAACCGAAATAAATGTTTAGCTACGCATAGCTAAATAATAAAAACAAAAATAATAATTTATCACGTTCTTCCACCAAAATAAAATAATAAAAAATAAATAAATAAAATCAAAACAAACTAAGTCCACGGCCCACAGCAAATAATTCACTTTGATCTTCTAGCCTTCACTCCTCAAGCTCTCTGTTCCCGCATGAGAATATTTCTCCTCCTGGCACCCACGACCTTTTGGAAAAATGCCTCCCCAGGAATTATTTTTTTCCTCCCCAATTAATTACCACGTGAGAATCCCTCAATCAGGAATTAAAATCCTAATTTCTTCAAATTCTCGGCCAACCTTCCCAATTCACAAGGGAAATAAAACCAGTTGCCTTAAAACTCTTTCTAGTCCAAAATTAAGAGTCCTAATCCTTTTTTGCTTCCTTTTCTTTTAAACATTGACCAAATAAATTCAATTCCACATCATCGCCTACTCAATTGCCATCTCATCAATACCACGTCATAAATAAGCATAATTACTGCAAAATAGACATAAAATCGAATATTGCTGCACGTCTGTTCACAAAATAAAATATGTGAAAAACTTGAATAATACACTCGATTCAAATACTCAAATATGAAAATTAAGTCACAAAATAATAAAAGATTTCTTCTTTTATTTTTTTTATTNAAATGCCCTTAGAAATTAGCCTGTTTTTGTTAAAACTACTTTTATAGTTGGGATCAGGACTTACGGTTTAAAAATTTTGTCGACTCAGAGATGTTTCTGATTTTTGTTGATGGAAATCGTCTGAACTTCATCGAGTCGCCTGGAGTCCAAGTTGCGCCTCGCGTCACCCTGGGCTTCGCACCATGGTCGCTCGCCAATCGACATCACCCTGGGTTGCTGGAATCCTGTCGGACCGTCGCCTGTCTGCTGCTAGTATTTTAAATTAAGAGATTTTCTTAAGCATGCTTTAATTAATTTTCCTTATGTCACTGGGCCGCCGCTTGCATTCTCTGTGCCTTGTCGGGAAGCACAGCAATTGACGAGTGCAGCAGCCGGATGGGGCCTCGCTGGCACAAGCGCACGAAGCACACAACCATGACCATCACCAAGTTGCCCTGCGTTATAGCCGCAACTCCATGTCAACCGCGAACAAGTGACGCACGCGCGGCCGAAGCCTGTGGTGCAGTCATCCGAGTTGCCGCGTGCGTCCAGCTGCCAGGTCGTGGTCACAGGCACTGTGCACGAGCTGCTTCGAACAAATTGCCACTCGTTGCTGCCCATACCTACCCAGCACCGCACGTGCACGCTCCTCACCCACTGCTGTCACCTGCTCCTATTGCTGGTTGCCCTCGACATTGCCTGAGCAATTCTTGGCACAGCCTACGCTTGGCAGCAAGTTGCCGTCGGGCGCACTTGCTCGCGCGCGATGTCGCTTGCAGAGTCTACCGCGGGTTCTGGTTGGCTCTGCCTCATCGGGGAATGTCGGTCGCCTTATTCTTGATCGTCCGAGCTCGTCTGCACGTACAATTATATAATACAAAAAATTGATCTTATGGCCCACGCAGAATGAATGATCTAGTTGCATGAATAAATTATTACAAGTATTTACCAACCCAAAATCCCCGACATGTCCGAGGTTTATAAAACATAAATGAATTAAAACACACAAATGGGCCACAATAGTCGGATTAAAAAATACCTGCAACCAACACTTATTTGCATTTCTAATCTACTATGCGTTGCATCCGTACACAACTAATTCACATATGTCACGCAAACCCTAATACAAAGAAATTAGCCTAGGCTCTGATACCAGTTGTTGAGTTTTTTTAGGAACGTCGTCCATGTGTACGTCTATTAAAAATAAATTTTAACACGGCGAAATCTATAGTTAGGATCATGACTTACGGTTTAAAAATTTTGTCGACTCCGAGACATCTCCAATTTTCGTTGATGGAGATCGTTTGAACCTCATCGAGTCGCTCGGAGTCCAAGTCGCATCTCGTGTCACCTTGGGTTTCACACCATGATTTTTGGCCTATCGACGTCGCCGGAGTCACCCTTTATTTTCCATAATTTTTTTATATGCGAGGGGGCAAACTAAACAACACAACCATGTGAATATCAACAATATACAATCAACTCAAACATCACAATGTGCAAGTAATGACAATAGACTATGAACACGAGCTTTTACATTTGAAACCTCAAAGAAGACAAGTTAATAGTGTAACCAATCGGGATTTACAATGGACAAAACAATACCGTGACCCTCAATCATGTGTTCCACATCACAAATCTTCAATTAACTTAATATGATCGGGGTTTAACCCATCGTAAAGCATAAAGTAAGACATTTGAAAATAAACTAAACGCATTTATCCAATCAAAAAGCTAGCAATATTGACCAAACTCAAACACCAACGATTTCAATGTCCAACGAAAACTCAAACCATTTGAACCGACTACTTCAACCTCCTCCATTCAACAATCCAAACACCTCAATTAATCCAAACACATAAAATCCCCAATCTCCGATTCGAAAACCGATCGATTCCATTTCAAAACAAACGATTCAATAATAAAAATTGCAAGCACCTCCGAGCAATACCTCAACTAACCGAAACGCCACCAACAATCCGTCACCAACAACAATTCAATTTCCAATTGCCACCCAAACAAGTCGAACCGACCACTTCAACTATTCCAATTCAACAACCCAACAACTCAATAATCAAGAATAAAATCAACTCCAAGCAACACTCAAATCAGTAAGCCAAATACAAATTCCCAATCTCCAATTCCAATACCAATCAAACTCAAGAGTCGGATTAGCCAATATACCTTGTGTCAGAGAAAAAGGAATTCAATCACCGAAAGAAATAGACGGCTCGGTCGCTGGAGGAGATAATAGGTCGCCGGAGCTCGCAGCTCGTACAGGTTCCCCGGAGTGCGCCCGTCTCGGCTCAGTTGATTGCCGTGAAAGGCTCGCCTTTGTGTATGTGGGGGGACGCATTTCAAGTTCGTCGATGGTGGTGCTGAGAAGGCCCGTCGGTGGGCTGGGGGTCGCAGCTCGGTGTTCTGTGAAGGCCGGAGGTCGAGGCTCACGGAGGTCGCAGCCCATCGGATGTCGAGGCCCGTCGAAAGTCGCAGCTCGGTGTCACGGTGTTGAGGTTGAGACTCATCGGTTGTGGTCGAGCACGGCTGGTGGACGGAGATCGCGGCTCGTGGCTCTGCGCAGAGGTCGAAGGCCGTCGTCGCAGTTGGTGGTCGCGGCTCGTGAGCGGTCGCCGGGAAGAACAGAGCACGCTTAAAACGAGTCGCCGGACAGGGTTGTGGTTGCCGGGAGTCAAACGCGCGGTCGCCGGCCGGCGTTAGCTCGAACTCGCCGGGAAATATCAGAAACGCCGGAGAGATTCACGGACGACAGTCTCGCGACCTAAGGTTGCTCTGGCCGACGGAATTCGAGGCTCGAGGTCGCGGCTCGCTGCTTGTGGACTGGAGTTCGCAGGAGTCGGAGGATCTCTGGTCGCCGGTCGGAACTCTGAAGGTCCGGACGACGCCATTGCTGTTGCGGCGCTTAGATGGAGGAGGATTTTGGGCTCGAATAGGGTTAAATTGGCCGAGGGAAAAATGACTCTTATAACCCGTGGAAATTGGTCCGCATGACCCTCTGTAGACGACAAATTGTGTAAATGACCCTTGACTAAATTTGTACAATAAAACTTAATAAGTAATCACATTAAATAGCAATTTACTAATATACCCTTAACACAAAAACTTTTTTTCTTCCTTTCTTCTTTCTATTCTTCCTATTCCTCCATTTTCACGCTCCCCTTTCTTCCTCACCCAAGCTCGCGACGTCCGGCGCTCTCTCGACCTCCTCTCTCGAAATTTGCATCACGCCCTCTCTTCTTCCTTCTGTCCGACCTGCTTCTCTCGCGGACTATCACTATGGACCTTTCTCTCGCCGTCAATTTCGGTAAGGATTTTTTCTAGGGTACATTTTTTTATTTTTTTTTTGGTTTTTTTTAATTAATTTCTATGTGTTTGGGAATGTGATATTCGTGGAACAAGATTTTGATTGTGTTATATGAATTCATCTAATTTTGCTAATTTTGTGTGTGCATAAAGGTCTTGAGAAACTCATTATGTGACTGAGTAGAGTATTCAAATAGTTCCTTCATCATTGATTTCTTTGTAGAGTATCTCTTTGTGCTTTGTTTAGTACTTAAATGTCCGGGTGAATATGGCCTTGTTATTTTGTTTGCAACTCTGATGTTGTTGGCTATTGCACTCATCAAAAACTCATAGATCAAATACACGTTAGGTCGTATTTTGTAACTAAACTAGCATTGTACTGCGAATGCATCGAGCTCCTCAGTTATAGTATCATAATATTTATAACGAATCATTTTATGAGATAACGATACTTGTTTCGTTTTAGAAATTGATAGAATGCATTAAAAATGACTTAAATTGTAACTATAATAAGTAAAATATTGTTATAATGTATTATATAGCGAAGGTATAGGTGTATTTAATCGACCGGGATAGAAATATAACCATAACGAATGTACATTCGTTGTATCCTCGTTATGGTTATTTTGATGGAATGACGTGTTAACGTTCTATCTTCGTTATATATGACATTAGGACGATATTATAAACTCGTTATAGTGTCGAAATGCTCATAACGAATGTAGAATCGTTATAGTTGTATTCGATCTAACCACGAGAAGCTCGAGAAGAATCTTTATAAATCAAGGACTAAAAAACAATTATATTATACTTCATTTAAAGTACTCTGTCGAATTCATATAATGGAAATATGTATGCTCCTGTATGAAGTTTTGTCGAAAGCTAATAGACATGTTTAATTCCTTTTACATAAAGTTTTCTTTGTTGCTTTGTGGTGATTTTTAGCTATTGGATTTATGGATTTTGTTTGTTCTTCATCTTTTTAGAGGCAGAACAATTGTGTTTGAACTGTAATTGAATAAACCCATACAGCTTAGCCAGATTTGGCAGTATCATAATAATAATGATAATTCAGTGATTTCTAGTGTGTACATATGTATCATCATTATCTGTGTTCCCCTTCTCTTTATCTGTTTTTGTGCCTTTGAATACCATATGAATATAATATTAGAGGTTATCATTTATCCCTATGGACTCAATTTTTTATGTGTTTGATCATTTGGGACACAATATCAGTTCAAGATTCTTTAAATGAGTTGTCATTTTGTATCAAAAGTTTTTTATTCTTATTTATTGATATTTTAACTTAAACTATTTTTTCAGAGTAGTTCTGCTTATGTTTCTAAGAGAAATGTTGCAACTAATATCTGCAAAGCAAAATATTCATTTTCAACCATTTTATTTTTATCATATTCTAATTAGTTCCATCTATTTTTCAACAAATTCTGAGTTTCATATTCTTAAAAAAGTCCTCTTTTAGTAGGTTGTGGAATATTTATTCAGTACAAGTTTATAAAATATATGTAACCAGATAGTTTAGTCCAATCTCAATCTCTATGATATATTATTATTATTATTATTTTACAGGCAAAAAATGCTACAGGAAATAAGATGATATATTTTCATCACATTATGTTTATAAGTGTATTATCAAGCTTGGTAAACTAATAGATATTGTACATTTATATTACAGGTTTATAAGTGTATTATCAAACTTGTCGTATCAGCAGACTGTAAAGTTGTTCAAGCGGACCTCTTTCGGGAAGGGAAAAAATCCAAAGTCCATAAAGTATTCTTTGCATGGATTTTCCCTGGCTATTGTGGTACTTTTCATCTAAATCTATAGTTATGTTCTTTATTATTTATTTGTGTTAATTGTACTTTTAATTATGCTCTCTCATTTGCTAAGCAGACTTGGGCATTTGAGGCGCTACCCGACTTAGGAAGAGAATTTGCATGCTGGGAAGAATGTTGAAGGCGTAGATCAATCTCGGATTAGTGATTGGCGTGTAAAACTAGCGGCTGAAATATTTAGTGCTCATTTTGATCCATAGTTTGTTTTAAACATTCAATATGTAACGGGTTGTAGGGATCTTTTGGATAATACATTTTTGTATTATTTTTCATGTATTTTTCAATGCAATGATGCGGGTGGTCCATTTTTTAAGTTGTATTTTTTACGTACTTCCCAATGCAGTGGTTATAATAGTATTTTATCAAAATGGTTAAAGATATTACTGTAATGAGAAGTTTTAATGTAATAAATAACGAAGGGGTTCGATGCCGAGCTCCCAAAAATAAGTCGAGAAACCGATTACAAGTCGTTTAAAAAATAACGAATGTACAGTCGTTATTTTTTATGAAATAACGAATGTACATTCGTTATTTTGAAAAAATAAAATAAAACTTGCTAGCGACATTCGTCGCGGCCGCGACGTCCTGGCAACCTTCTCTGTCCGACCAAGAACAGGGCCCAGCGTCGCGCCCGCGACACATGTCGCGACCGCGACATATAGTCGTTTCAATATAACGATTGTACAATCGTTATTTGTATGAAATGACGAATGTACATTCGTTATTTTGAAAAAAAAAATAAAACTTGCTTAAAAAAAAAAAAAAACTTGCTTGTCGCTGGCGCGACGTCCATCGCGGCCGCGACGTCCTGTCAACCTTCTCTGTCCGACCAAGAACAGGGCCCAGTGTCGCGCCAGCGACATATAGTCGTTTCAATATAACGATTGTACAAAGCGAATATACATGCGTTATTAAGTAACTCGAAAAAAAAAATCATAAAAGAAGTGCGTTTTGGTTTCGAAAAAATCCACCTTAAACGACCGTGTATTCGTCATATAATACATTATAAAGATATTAAACTCGTTATAGGTATAATTTTAGTCATTTTTCAAGTTAAAATAACGAATTTACAAAGATATTACATTCATTATTTCAATTTTTTTTTAAAAACCAAGTATTGTTATTTCAAAAAAAGAGTTCTGTTATGAGTGTTTCGACGTTTTTACACCTTCAAACTATCGTTCCAATGATACGTAACATAAATATACATGCGTTATCAAGTAACTCGAAAAAACCATAAAAAAAAACGTGTTTTGGTCGAATGTTCATTAGTTATAACTAATGTACATTAGTTATAGTTGTTTTTCGTAACAAATGCGCCTTAAACGACCGTGCATCCGTCATTTAACATGTTATAAAGATGTTAAACTCGTTATGGGTCTCATTTTATTCTTTTTTCATGTAAAATAACGAATTTACAAAGATTCTACATCATCTTTCATTTTTCAAAAACAAAAACAAATAACAAGTGTTGTTATTTCAAAAAAAGAGTTTCATTGTGAGTGTTTCGACGCTCTAACAACTTCAAACTATCGTTCCAATGACACGTAACTTCAACATACAAGTGTTATCAAGTAACTCGAAAAAAAAAACCATAAAGAAAGCCTAGTTTGGTCGAAAAACAACTATAACGAATGTTCATTAGTTATAACTAATGTACATTAGTTATAGTTGTTTTTCGTAACAAATGCGACTTAAACGACCGTGCATCCATCATATAACACATTATAAAGATGTTAAACTCGTTATGGGTCTCATTTTATTCTTTTTTCATGTAAAATAACGAATTTACAAAGATTCTACATCATCTTTCATTTTTTAAAAACAAAAACAAATAACAAGTGTTGTTATTTCAAAAAAAGAGTTTCATTGTGAGTGTTTCGACGCTCTAACAACTTCAAACTATCGTTCCAATGACACGTAACTTCAACATACAAGTGTTATCAAGTAACTCGAAAAAAAAAACCATAAAGAAAGCCTAGTTTGGTCGAAAAACAACTATAACGAATGTTCATTAGTTATAACTAATGTACATTAGTTATAGTTGTTTTTCGTAACAAATGCGACTTAAACGACCGTGCATCCATCATATAACACGTTATAAAGATGTTAAACTCGTTATGGGTCTCATTTTATTCTTTTTTCATGTAAAATAACGAATTTACAAAGATTCTACATCATCTTTCATTTTTTAAAAACAAAAACAAATAACAAGTGTTGTTATTTCAAAAAAAAAGTTTCGTTGTGAGTGTTTCGACGCTCTAACAACTTCAAACTATAGTTCCAATGACATGTAACATGAATATACAATCGTTATCAAGTAATTCGATAAAAAAAAACCATAAAGAAAGCGCGTTTGTTAAGAAAAACAACCATAACGAAAGTACATTCGTTATAACGAACGTACATTCGTTATGGTTATTTTTTGACCAAATCCACCTTAAACGATCGTGCATTCGTCATATAAGCCAGTATAGAGATAATAAACTCGTTATAGGTCTAATATTAGCCATTTTTAAGTTAAAATAATGGATAAAGTTACATCATTTATTCATTTTTCAAAAAAAAAATAAAAAATAAAACAAGTGTGGTTATTTCAAAAAAAGAGTGTCGTGATGAGTGTTTCGACGCTCTAACAACTCAAACTATAGTTCCAATGACATGTAACATGAATATACAATCGTTATCAAGTAATTCGATCAAAAAAACCATAAAGAAAGCGCGTTTGTTAAGAAAAACAACCATAACGAAAGTACATTCGATATAACAAACATACATTCGTTATGGTTGTTTTTTGACCAAATCCACCTGAAACAATCGTGCATTCGTCATATAAGCCATTATAGAGATAATAAACTCGCTATAGGTCTAATATTAGCCATTTTTAAGTTAAAATAACGGATAAACAAATACTTTACATCATGTATTCATTTTTCAAAAACAAAAAAAAATAAAACAAGTGTGGTTATTTCAAAAAAAGAGTGTCGTGATGAGTGTTTCGACGCTCTAACAACTCAAACTATAGTTCCAATGACATGTAACATGAATATACAATCGTTATCAAGTAATTCGATCAAAAAAACCATAAAGAAAGCGCGTTTGTTAAGAAAAACAACCATAACGAAAGTACATTCGTTATAACGAACGTACATTCGTTATGGTTATTTTTTGACCAAATTCACCTTAACCAATCGTGCATTCGTCATATAAGCCATTATAAAGATAATAAACTCGTTATAGGTCTAATATTAACCATTTTTAAGTTAAAATAACGGATAAACAAATACTTTACATCATGTATTCATTTTTCAAAAACAAAAAAAAATAAAACAAGTGTGGTTATTTCAAAAAAAGAGTGTCGTGATGAGTGTTTCGACGCTCTAACAACTCAAACTATAGTTCCAATGACATGTAACATGAATATACAATTGTTATCAAGTAATTCGATCAAAAAAACCATAAAGAAAGTGCGTTTGTTAAGAAAAACAACCATAACGAAAGTACATTCGTTATAACGAACATACATTCGTTATGGTTGTTTTTTGACCAAATCCACCTTAAACGATCGTGCATTCGTCATATAAGCCATTATAGAGATAATAAACTCGTTATAGGTCTAATATTAGCCATTTTTTAAGTTAAAATAACGGATAAACAAATATTTTACATCATGTATTCATTTTTCAAAAAAAATGAAAATAAAAAACAAAACAAGTGTGGTTATTTCAAAAAAAGAGTTTCGTTATGAGTGTTTCGACGCTCTAACAACTTCAAACTATAGTTCCAATGACATGTAACATGAATATGCAATCGCTATCAAGTAATTCGATCAAAAAAACCATAAAGAAAGCGCGTTTGTTAAGAAAAACACCATAATGAATGTACATTCGTTATGGTTGTTTTTCAACCAAATCCACCTCAAACGATTTGTTATTTCATACATCATAACGAATGTACATTTGTTATGGTTATATTTTCATCTCGGTCGATTAAATACATCTATACCTTCGATATATAATACATTATAACGATATTTTATTCATTATATTTATTAAGTCATTTTTAATGGAATACTAATATAACGATTCTTTATTCTATCTATTTCTAAAAAGAAACAAGTATCGTTATCTCATAAAATGAGTTCCGTTATAAGTATTGCAATACTATAACCGAGGAGTCCAATGCCGATCTCCAGGCATTCTGAGGAACCTTGTACACAAAAATATAAATAAATAAAAATAAAGGCCCGCGACAGCCTTTGTGTCGCGGCCGCGATAGGCCGTCACGATCATCTGTAGCTCCGTGTTCGGTGTCGCGCCCGCGACTCCAATCGCGCCCGCGACGTCCTAGAAGCTACCTGCCGCGAGTCGTTTTGTTTCTCATTCACATATCTCCACGTCCAAGTGCCATCATTACTCTTTTTAAACTCAACATAGTGGCATACTTGTATCCATGTCATCTTTGTTAAAATCAATACCTACAAAAAAAAAAATATATGTTATGTCATAACGAAACTACATTGAGATATGTCATAACAAAACTACATTCCTTAAGTCATAAAGAAACTACATTAAAATATATTATAACTAAAAACATTGAGATATGTCATAAAAAAACTACATTCGTTATGACATAATCATCAGATAATGAATTTACATTCGTGATGAGATAATTTTCAGATAACGAATGTACATTCGTTATGAAACTGCATAACGACTGTACATTCGTTATATAAACATCTAAAAAATGAAAGAAGAAAAAAAACATGAATAACACAAGAAACATGATAAATATGAAACCAACATGCTTATCAATCATAAAATATGAACCAAAATGCTTATCAAAGTAAAATAACAAGAAACCCTAACAACAATTATTTCTTTCACCTTTCTCTAAAATAAAGGAGACAATGCTTTGTTTTGATCTTATTCCACCATAACCACATTTCTTTTGCAGTATGAAATCTAAAATTTATGTGTAATGGTTAGATTTTGTTCTCACCTTTTGAAAAGAAAAGCACACATAAAACAGAGCATAGCGAAAGAGAGCGAGAGAGACAGAGACGGAGCTTCTGATCTTTTTTTTTTTTAATTTTTAAACAAAGTTTATAACACAAAATAG